TTTCAACAGTGAAAAGTATTCATGTATGTTGACTCGGGGAGCTACGATTATTGCAAAAGAAGAACATCATGGTAAATTGCTAAGTAGTTGTGTGTTCAGTGGTGAAAGCTGCATATCTAAACTGGCGGAGGAAGACACTGCAATGCAGTGGCATAGGAGTCTGGCACATTGGTGAAATTTTTTTGGAGACTTTGACATGAAAGAAACTGGTTGATGGAATTCCAAGCTGCTCTATGGGTTTTAGATTTTTTGAACATTGCCTGCACAAGAAGCAAAATCGGGTGTCTTTTGACTCCATAGGAGGAAGAGCTAAGGGGATCTCAAACCTGATACACAGTGATGTGTTTGGCCCCACACTTGTAGCATCACATGGAAAATCAATGTATTATATTTCTTTTACTGATGATTTTTCAAGATATGTGTGGTTATATTTCTTGCACAGCAAAGATGAAGTGTTTGATAAATTCCACGAGTTCAAGGCCTTAGTGGAAAATCAGTTTGACAAAAAAAGTCAAGATGTTGAGAACTGATAGTGGAAGAGAGTTATGTTCAACAAAATTTGATCAGTTTTGTGCGAGTAGTGGGATTGCAAGGCAGAAGACTATGCCTTACTCACCTCAATAGAATGGGATGAAAGGGAGATTGAATCGGTCTCTCATGAAAAAACATGGAGTATGTTGAGCGGTGCATGCTTGCAGTTGAGTTTTGGGCGAAGGCAGTAGCTAATGCTTGCTAGTTGAAGAAAAAATCTCCTACATCGGCCTTGAAGGTGAAGCCTGTGTATGATGTATCTCATGTTAGAGTGTTTAGCTGTGAGGCATATGTACATGTACCCAAGGAGAAAATGAGCAAGCTTGACAGGAAATCAGAGAAATGCATCTTTATTGGGTATAAGGATGGTGTCAAAAGGTACAAGTTATGGAATCCGTATACTAAAAGTGTAACTTACAGCAGAGATGTTTGTTCAAGGAATCTAAGCTAAATAAGATTTTTTTCGGAAGCTCCTGAAAAGCCACAGACGATGGAGTTAGATGAGGGTTTGAAAGAGGATACAGTAAACTCACAAGTTGGAGCGAAAAATTCAGATTTTGAAGCTACTGAATATAACAGAGTGGAAGATGAAGACTCTAAAATCGAGGCTGAAGTTGAAGCACCAATGCTGAGGAGGTCTGCAAGGGAAATGAGACCATTTGAGAGGTATACACCTGAAAACTATATCCTATGTGCTAGTGATGACAATTGTGCATTGAGTATTAAATTTGATGATACAAGCACTATAAAACGAGCTAGGAGCTCGGATGATGCCAAACAGTGGGAGGAAGCCATGAAAGATGAGACGAAATCTCTGATGAAAAATTAAACTTGGAGTTTGGTGAAGCTATCTGTAGACCAAAAAGCAATCAATTGCAAGTGGATGTTCAAGAAAAAGGTTGGTGCTAATAGGGAGATTGAGCGTTACAAGGCTCGGTTGGTTGCAAAAGGATATTCACAGACAGAAGGGGTTGATCACAGTGAGATTTTTTCACCTATTGCAAAGTTAAACTCCATAAGACTTGTTCTATCTGTAGTTGTTGCATATGACTTAGAGGTGGAGCAGCTGGATATAAAGACGGCTTTCCTTTATGGTGATTTGGAGGGGGTTATTTTCATGAAACAACCAAAGGGGTTAGTAGCAAGAGGCAAAGAGGACAAAGTTTGCAAGCTAAATAAATCCTTGTATGGCCTGAAGCAATCCCCTTGGATGTGGTACCTAAAGTTTGACACCTATTTGGTGAAGCTTAGCTTTGATCATTGTGATACTGATCATTGTGTCTGTGTGAAAAGGTTAGAAGGTGAATTTGCTATTCTAACTTTGTATGTTGACGATATGCTACTTGTTGGAAACATTTTCAAGATGATTAGCACTTTCAAAAGACTGCTGGCGAAGCAGCTTGAAATAAAAGATCTAGACGCTGCAAATGTGATCTTGGGGATATAGATCAAGAGGGGGCGTGACAAAGGAATGTTATGGCTGAGTCAACGGAAGTAAATACTGGATGTTCTTAAGAAATTCAAAATGATTGACTGCAAATTAGTGTTGACTCCCATGTCTACCGTTCCAAGTTATCGGCTGACCAATATTCCAAGACTAAAGAAGAAGAAGATATGGCACCAATTTCTTATGCTAGTGTAGTTGGAAGTCTGATGTATGTAATGGTTTGTACTCCTCATGATATTGCTCAAGTAGTGAGAGTTTTGAGCAGGCGTATGTCCAAGCCAGGAAAGGAGTATTGGACGGCGATGAAGCATGTGTTCCGTTATCTTCGTGGAACATCTGACCTTGGGTAATCCTATGAAGGTGTGAAAGGCTCAAGAGGACAGACACTATTAGAGTGAGGTGCTTGGTGGATGCTGATTGGGGAGGCGCCATTAATAATATAAGGTCTACAAGTGGATATGTTGTTTCCTTATTTGGCGGAGCTATCAGCTGGATGAATAAGAGGCAAAGCACAGTTGCTTTATCTACTATAAAGGCAGAGTACATGGCCTTGACACATGTTGTCAAGGAGGCTATTTGGTTGCGGAGGGCAACGAGTTTGGCTTTGCACAAGGAGAGGTGACAATTGGGTGTGATAGTCAAAGAGCCATTTTCTTGGCTAAGAATGCAAATTTCCATGTGAGGACCAAGCACATCGGCATACAGTACCACTTTATCAAAGGGAAGATAGAATACAAGGTTGTATTGTTAGAGAAAGTTGGCACAAAGGTTAACAGTGCTGACTTTCTGACCAAGGCAGTGAATTTAGAAAAATTTGAATAGTGTACAGCTACATTGGGACTGAAGAAAAATGTGAATCATCCACCAAGTAGGAGAATGTTGGGTATGGCTCATACTTCGCAATCTGATGACCACTCTTATTGGTGGGGCCAGCAGGAAGCCATACTGCCATCGTACTGTTGTGGGCCTCTGACTTATTGTATTTTCTCTTTTCTATTTTTGATTTGTACGTTGTGGTGTCGATTTCCAACAATCCTAATGGGGAACATTAATTAGGATTTATTGTGACATGATAGAAAACTCTTCTCCCGAAATTAACTCTTTATCCCATTAAAGCTTCCAAATGAACGTCAAAGTCGCCATCACTGTCATTATCACGTGTCATCACCATTACCACTGACACCATCATCGACCAACCACACTGCCATTGTGATGTGCGTGTCTAAAAAAAATTCATTAACTTTGATCGGTAACAAATCTCTAACTTTATCTAAATACTACAAGTAATATGTGATTGACATGGTTAACTATTATTTATATCCACTAAATAAATTAACTCAAGTTATTATCTAAATTGAATTATTTTGTGTTGAGTGTGAATATGAATTTTTTTTCATGTTAATGTTATTCAAATTATTTTTGTTGTGCTACATACATAAATACTACCAATCAATTTAAAATTACTTTTTTGAAGATATAATTTTTTATTTTGTAAATTTTTTTGAAGTTATTTTATGTATTTTAGCATATTTTATTTAAGATTAAGACTTTTAGAAATTTTTGAATAATTTAAAATAAAAAAAATTAAAAATTTTATATAATTATGTTATAAAAAAATTTCTATAGTTAAAACATAAATACTTTTCCCGTTACCTTACCTTAAATACTTTTCCCATTAATTAAATATACGTTGGCACATACTTTAAGTAGTAAAATATCGTTATTAGTGTTACCAAAAAAAAAATCGTTATTAGTAAAATGGGACTAACTACTGTAATAACTGATAGTATAAGATGTTATCGCTACAATAAAATCACGTAACAGTGTTTCTCATTTAAAATGACATAAAATTATGTCATTTTAAAATAGAGATAAATACAAAATAAATTTTTTTATTTAAAATTTAAATTAAAAAAAAATTATTTTCTTCATCATGATTTTCATTCTTTATGTCTATTTCTCTCATAAATTGACATAACTTATGTCATTTAAAATGACAAACACTAAACCCATAAATTAAATGTAAACTCTGTCAATATATAGTATCCTTCCGCCCCATAAAAGCACTCTTTTTCATATTCATTGAATTCAAAGTTTCAAACCTATAACGATAGCTATAGCCGTAATTAAGTACGCGACACTAGTCTTCTTGAACCTTTATGATGAATCCATATCAATAAAGAAATGTTTGCGCGAAAATAATGGTATACCTAACCTCAGCCAAAAAAGATCTTCGTTCACCTTGACCATTGTAGTTAAATTAACCATAGTCTGTTTACCCAAAAAAAAAAAAGTTAAAAAAATTAACCATAGTCTTAGACATGGCCGTAACGGGATCAAGGAAAAGCAAAGGCAAGATCAGAATTTTTACCATTGAATTCCAACTGGTTCCATGTTATCTATCATTATATTTCATGCATGCTTGTAAAAAGCATTTTTCAAGAGAGAAAAAGGTAATAATGAAAGGATTGATACAATGCATGGATCCTTTGTTATATCCAAGGAATAAACTCTAAAAAGCAGCAGGTGCTACATCTTGCCTTAGAGTGGTCCCCTAGACTTTTGATAAAGTCTACTTAAGAATTTCTCGAATTATTTGAAAGTTGTTAATTATATGACGATTGTTATGGTTGATACCCTCTAATAAATTAGTCTAGTTTCTATGACGTGATAATAAACTAGTACAACAACCACTATAATACTCATACAGTACAAGTGGACATTGGTCACATTACAATGAAATGATCTAATTGGCCAAAACAAATAACTTGTCGGGATCCAATGAATAGAAGATGAAATTGGTAGAGATTACTGGATGTCATCATCAAACGATAAAAAAAGCCTAATATATACTCAATTATTAATTTATACAGTACCAAGGGACTTCAGTCAACAGCGACTGCGCTAGTGAAGCTTACATTTTCATATCCAAAATCAATGGTCACCATATACTTATCGGAAAAAAGTTATCAAAAGATAAAGGAAGTTATATAAAGTAGTCTTAATTTGTAACAAAGTTAGGGATCTTATCATAACAAAGAAAGTTCATTAGTAGAAGGTACGCCTTCATTTCGTCCATATATATTATTTCATTACACACAGTCAAAAAACTAAACAAGCTCCGAGCTTATTGATTATCATATATAAATGAAGTTTTCGCGAAAAACTTCATCTTCTCGTACTTTTGTTTTCAATACTCATTGGTCGTACTTCCTGGCATCTGAAGTGGGATATGAGGATAACCAAGTGGACAGAAAACAACTCTATAATTAGAGCCAGCGGGGCATGTGAAGGTACTTGTTGGGTCATCCTGAGGGTAGCTGTATGCATCATGGCATCTGTCTTTGAAGAACCTTGAATAGTTAGTGGCTCCACAACTTCCTTGGCCATTGGTGCAGCAATATTCATTGGTCTTAAACACTGTGCATGGATTGTTACACCCACCCTGTGCCCTCAATTCGTTAGGACACTGTCCATTAATATCAGCTGTGCAGCTGATTTTGTGACAGCCACCATTGAGGGGATAGAAGTCCATTGGAATGTTGAAACCATCAACAAGAGAGATGTCATAGAAATCCTGATTTTGATATTGGTTCAATGCAAACTCAGCCAAGGTGTTTGGAGGGACACCCCAACCTGTGCATTTAAGTCCGCCGGTGCAGTCACCGGTTTGGCAACGACCGTGACCGCTGCCATCGAAGTTGCAGCCTGTACGGCCCCATATACGAGCCATGGCGGTGCCAGGTGCTACCCCCAGGTTCCATGTCTGACCTCTTTCAAGGCGGACACCACCGCCGGGGCTGGCAGCTGCCCATACTGTGTAAGGACAATTATTCACTATCTCAAAATTTGCTGCTCGCGTTGTTGTGACCAAACACGCACTCAGCATGAGTACGGAGCACAGTGTGAGGTTGGATAAGTAACCCATTTTCAGAGCCAAAATTGATTTGTGAGTGGGAAGTGTGAGAATAGAAGAATGCTATTTGGGGTTTATATAGAGACTAGTATAATTAATAACCAAACCTGTCACATTGGAATACTACAAAACAAAACAAGTGGCTCAGCTGTCATAATTAAAAGTGGGGGGCGGCTATCCACCTTCCTGACGAGACATCTTAATGAAGATAATGTCAAAAATATAACGCAATTAATTATTGGATATTTATTTACTAAATTTTAATTTGATGCACATTGAACAAATAATTACAAAATATATCATTAAAAATAATGTAAAACTGTATAAATCTTAACGGATTTTAAGAGTACTACTCTTAAAGAATAGTACTTAGGCCCGTTTGTATTCACTTTTTTTAAAAAAAAATTTTATCACTTTCTTATTTTAAAAGTACTTTTTATAAAAGTTACAGCTATTTAGATTTTTAAAAAAATATTTGATTTTTGAAAAAAATATTTGACTTTTGACTTCTGCTTTTTTGAGAAGCTAAAATTTTTAGCTTCCGAAAAAAGTAAGTTTTTGACTTTTTTTATGACTTCTGCTTTTTTTAAAAGCAGGCATCCAAACAGACTTTTTTCGAGAAGTGCTTTTTTTTCCTTAAAAAAAAAAACTTTTGAAGGAAAAAAAAGCTTATCCAAACGGACTCTTAATATACCTAAAACAATTTCATAAAATTCATTGTAAATCAAACTTGACTGACTCTATTCTGCATCTACTGGAATTTTATATATAAAAAGAGGTTGTTAATGAGCGTCTTTAAAATACGGATTAAAGGAATTAAATATTGAAATATTAAATGAAAGTGAGGCATATAATATATTAAGAACTTAAAAATATTCAATATTTTTTCTTTTTAATAATTACAATATTTAATATAATTATTATATTATCTTTCATCTGTACGTAGAAAACACTCGTTAACAATACCATTGAGTAATATAAGAGATTCTTATCGAAAGATAAATGTACAATTTATTTTGAACAAAACCAGTTAATGGTATAACTATTGAGATGAATACATGCATAATAAAACTTTAATATATTTATAACAGCAAAATGGTTAGGCAGGAAAGCATCGTCACACGAAAGAAAGGATGGGTCCTGTGGTTCATTAATGGTCAAACACAGCACACTTGCATATATATCAAGTGGGTTAAATCTCAACAGAAATAGAGGCTGCTCAGTCCGAAGCTCATTCGTGAACGCAATCGCAATTCTAAGAATATTAACCACGAAATTTCTAACATAATAAGGTTATATATACATCCACCCAATAAAAATACAACACATATAGTGACATATTTTCTTAAAAGAGAAAAAAAAAAAAAAAACTGTGTCTGGGCATTCCTATAATACATATATAATTTGTAATTTCATTTTAAAGGGCAGTCGTATGCCTACTCAGTGCGACAGTGATACTGTTCTTCTTAAACATAAAAATTGAAGCAGGGTGGTGGGCGCCAGTAGGTGTTACGTACGCGTGCCAGTTCACTTCTTTATATTTCATTTAAAGGTTTTATGTTTGTTATATTACATAATATGACTCCACTTTTCTACACACACAATAAAGGAAAAAGAAAAAGTAGAATAATGAAAGAGAGAAAAAAATAATATGGATCTCACTTCTTTGATGTGTGTGTAAAAAAATAGAGTTATATTATGTAACATAAACATAAAACCCTTCATTTAATTTTGACATTTCGTATTTTAAATTTAAATTTATTTATCTCAATTCTCTTCTTTTATTTTTTTACCTATGATCCTTCGTTGAATATGGTAGCAATTTTTTGAACCCAACTTATAATTATAGAAATAAGATATTGTGAGCTCTTTGACCGATTGGGGTTTCTTGGGATTTTAATTTGTCAATGTGGTATTTAGTTCACGATATTTACTAATTGGGGTCGTTGAGTGACGTGAGGGAGACCCGGCGTTACTGAGTACCACACACCTTTCCTGCGTCACTCACACTTCTTTTATTTTTTTTTAATTGAATGTCGCCCCCCTCCCCTGGGGAACTCACACGATTGTGTCAAGTGGCACAATTTCGTTTGTCCAGTTACCATAAAACTTTGGAAGGCCGTAACTTTTGACTCGGGTATCCAAATCAAATAAATTTTTTTTGATTTCACATAACTTTTTGAGATCTACGCAATGACACCTCATTTGGCATATTTTTTTTTCTCTCACAAACATAATTCAAATTTGTAAAAAAATAGAACTATTGTTGTAAATTTGAACTATGTTAATGAAAGATAAAATATGTCAAATGAGATGTCATTGCGTAGATATCGAAAAGTTATGTGAAATCAAAAAATAATAATCTGACTTAGATACCCGAGTCAAAAGTTATGGCCTTCCGAAATTTTACGGTAACAGAACAAACAGAATTGTGCCACTTGGCACAATCGTGTGAGTTCCCCAGGGGAGGGAGGCGGCAGTCATTTAAAATAAATAAATAAATAAAAGAAGTGTGAGTGACACATGGAGAGGTGTGCGGCACTCAGTGACGCCTGGTCCCCTCACGTCACTCAATAACTCCAATTAGTAAATACCGTGAACTAAATACCACATTGACAAATTAAAGGGGTAAAAACCCCAAATGGGTCAAAGAGCCAGATATTGTGTCTACATATCTTTTATTATGTCTATTTTATATATTTTCTTTTAATATCATTATATTATATTTTCAGTTGACCTTCTTCATTTCTCTCTCCTTGGTTGAGATTGTAATTTAACTAGATATGAAAAAAAGCTATTTCCAAAAAATAATAATAAGCACAATATCTTGTCCACTAATTATATTTATTAGCTAAATAACTTTGATTATAGCCCGGTTGAAATCGAATATCTTGAGCTGAATAATTGAAAATAGAATGAATTGAAAAAACTAAAGATGTATAACATTAATTGAATTAAATTCGTCTTCGTACTCAAGCTTGTAAATTTATCCAATTTAAATCAAATTAAAAGTCATATATATTTTAGATACTTTACCTATTTCTCTCCATATCACAATCTCAACTAATGATAGGAGAGAGAGAGAAATTATAAAAGCCGGTTGAGATTGTGATCTAAAAATATATTTTAATCAAGAAGCTTTATATTATTTAAGAGGAAAAAATATTTTTCTTGGATTGATAGATAAAGTTATTTTCAACTACCTCAAGACAACATTGTTGTGGAGTTTACAACAACAAAAAATATATGGTATGTTGAAAACTTTACTTTCCTCGTATGATAAATTTTTACTAAAATACCCTAATTTTTTTTGTCAAATCCTAAAATTATGTTGTTTTGAGTTTACAAGAGATATTTCTTCTTCTTCTTTTACAAAAGAAATGTTAATCCCTATTCAAAATTATTATAAACTTTTCTATTATATCCAAAGAAAACATAATTATCTTTATTAGATTTGGGAAAGGATATTATGCCTTTTTTATGCCTATTTTACCTACTTATTTCCATATCGTTAGATAAAGTAATCAAGAAAAAAAGATAGGCATAATATATTATTCTTAGATTTTGATTAAAGTTAATTTAAAGGGATGAAATATTATGCCTACCTTTTATTTATTTTTACTTTTCTACTTTACTTATTTCACTCTGCATCATTAGATCAACTCCTTCACCCTTTTTTTCTCCTCACATTGTTGGTGGAAATTGTTCTTTCACCCTTTTTCTCTCCTCCCAATGTTAATTGAGATTGGAATCTAAAAGTGGGGAAAGAAATGATCAGTGGTGGAGCCCGCCCAAAAATTTAGGCGGTGCCAAAAGATTTGACAGATAAAATTATCAAAATATTGATCGCAATTACACAAATTTATCAGAAAAAAATTTAGTATGAATTCTAGCATAGTTATCTAAATTATGTACTAAATAATGTCACATAACATTGAAAATTCAAATGAACAATTGTCATTAATTATATATCAAAGCAAACATATAAAAATGCACTAACTTTTCCGGTAACCATTTCAAACATAATAATTTCACTTTTCTTCCACAACAAATAAGTAATGAACCAAACATTGTCCTAAGGATATGAAAACACACAAATAAAATAATTATATGTATAATAAGAATTGTCTTTCGTCTTCTCTTTCATTATCTATATTCTTTAAATTTTCAATATCTCACGTTAGATAACATCGCCCTTGTTTGCAACAGCCACAATAAGCACGATGGAAAGCTCTCACATTTGAGAATTAGGTTTTTGACTATTCTTTGTGTGTGCAATAACTCAAAACACAATAGTTCAACGAACCATCATATTCCATAACTATAGACCTGTTATTTATTTGGTTTCATGATTATTACTTTCAAGAGTTAAGTGTGTCTTTTTAATGGACACAAATCAATGGCGGACCCACACTATTGCAAGTGTGGGCACTTGCAGACACAAGTTTTTGTGGGAATGTTAGCTTTATGAGACGTTGGAGTTTACTTTATATAAAGACTTGAACAACTCATAATGTAAAGACTTGGAACTTATTTCTATGAAATATCAAATGAAATGTAAAGACTTGAACAACAACATATTTCAAGTCTTTACACAAGTTTTATATTAATTTTATATATATTAATGTTTCAAATCAACCAATTTTACCCTCATTTTATACATTATGACACATATTTTATATTAATATCTAGCCATGCATCTTTTAGGTATAAAGTTGGCTTTACAACAAAAAATATTGAAACTTATTGGAGTTTCTATGAAATGTTGTACAACTCATAATATAAAAAAATTCACCCTCACTTGTGATATATAGTTATATTTAATATTAAAATAATAATAAAAATCAGGACAAGATTATTTTGCATCGCTATACAAATAAAAACTTAACAAATAATCATTGCTTGAAATTATGATAGCTTAGTTGACTCTTGATTATTTTTTTTTAATGTTAAGTTAAAGTTTTTTTTTTCTTTTATTGTTTATTTTTTTAATGCATTTAAAAAAGTCAACGCTACTAAATTTGTAGACATAAATAAATTTTTCTGGGTCCGCTATTGACACAAATTGTGTTCTTTTAGTTTTTAATATTATGTCTTACCGTTAAGACATAGTTATAACATGAAAAGTTACTTCTTTTCTCTTTTCACGTTAACTGAAGTGACTGAGAAAAGAGAAAAAAGTACTTTTTCATATTATAAATATGTCTTACCGATAAGATATAGTGTCAAAAACTAATCTTGTGTCCTTTAAAAAGATAAACTCTTTTTCCTACCTTTAAATGAGTTTATTTGGTTTAGTTGGACCCAAATTTGAAATAGGTCAACTAATCATTTTTGTGATTAAGTTTAGAAGACTTTCTTTTTAAAATACTAGGAATAAGAATAAATAACATAACTGATTAAAATAAAGCAAAAATAAATAAATATACAAGATAAAAAATAAAAAAAGGTGAAACACAAAAACAACCATATTGTACTCATTCCTTATTATTTGTTTCCATTTAGATGGTTTGTTGTTACTTTGTATTGAATATTTAATTTTATATGCATGTGGTGTCAAATTATAATTTTAACCTTGATTAATTATAATTAATTATATAATCTATATAATAAGTAAAAAAAAATTAAAACAAACATGTGCCAAGGCACCTGTTGACGTGAATGTGGTTACGCAACTAGAAATGATGAAGTAGACATAAAAAAGGTACTATTTCAAATTTAAATAGTGATAAATGATTATATAACAAAATTTTGGTGGATGTGAGTGAAAAAATTCCGTTACATGCAGTAAGAGTACAGACCGATTAATTTCTTTCGAAATATTTTAAAAATATGCATAAATTTGAAAAAAATATTAAAAAAATGAAATTAAATTAGCAAGTTATGGTGAGAAAGAAAAATCTTTAAAAATAGATTTGGAATATGAGGCATATACTCCAACAACGAATGCAAATACCAAAATCAGCTACACAACAGTGGAAGAACTTTATCCATATATTTGACTCCTTCGATAACGTGGTCCCAAAAAAATATACATTTGGAGGGTTGCTAGCTTTATATATAAAATGTACCTTAATCAGATAGTTTTGATTGTAACATGATAAATAGTTTGTGGGAAAAATATGTCTAAAGGACACAAACTTAGATCCTTTTAAAAAAGATATAAAAATATATTATGGGAAAGAGAAAGTGAGAGTTTTTTTAATTTAAATTTTAAATAAAACATCTCTAACTCTTTGTTAAAAAGACCTAAATTTATATCCTTTAAAAATACACACATTTTTTCCATAGTTTGTAATAATATCCGACTTTTGTCCAAAAAGCCCACTTAAACATTGTGAATACAAAATAAGTAAGGTATAGAATGATCATAGATGGCCCTACACTTGTTATTGACAATAGGCCTGGTATGGAAAAGTTTGATTTGAAGTTATAAGTGAATCAATTTAATCTAGTCGTTTTATATATATTGAATAAATTATAATAAAAATTAAAAATAAAGTTTTAATTGAGTTAGTTTTAATTTTTTTTATTATAATTCTTTTAACATGTAGCATATAATTTCATAAATTTAAATGTAAGTTATAAAAATAATAAATATAATATTAGAAAAGTATATTATAAAATTATGCATATGTCTTTCACTTAATAAGTTAAGCTTTAGGATCACACACACACAAAAAAAAAAGCTTTAGGATGGAACTAATACTTTATATCATATTACAACCTCTTATAACCGAGTGATAGCAACTTCTTATAACCCTAAACAATCTTTATCGTGCCATTAATGATTTTAAATTATCTTTTTTTTATATATAAGTTCAAATTAATTTATCAAAAATAAAAAATAAAATTTTAATTATATTATAAACTAGGGTTATGATATTATACTTAATTTTTTTATACTTATTTTACCTATTTCTTTTCATTTCATTAAATCACAATCTCAACCAATAGTAAAATGAGAGATAAAGGATAAAGGAGTAATATAAGAGTGTGGAGAGAAGTGAGTTAAATATGCATGAAAAGAGGATACCACAAAAATAATAATAATAAATATGTATGAAAAATAGTACGTACAATATCTCATTCCAAGTGTAAAACTCCTTCACATTATTAGTGTATGTAAATTAAATTAAGGGCTCTGCAGTGACAATTAGGGGTGTAAATAAGTTAAGTCGGCCTACAGGAGCCTATGATCTAGTCTATATATATTAGGCTATATTTGGCCTATTACAAATAATAAAATAGAACAGACCTAGACTTTTAAAAAAATCTATTTAGAAAATAGGTCATAGGCTTTTTTTTACATGTCGGGCCTATAAACCTACTGGCCAATCTATATCATATTATTTATTTTAAATAAAATAAATAAAATTATTATTTTAAAAATATTGAATAATAAAGTAATATTATTTTAGTTATTCTTTTAATTGTTGAATGTTTAATAAGCTTAAACAGGCTAACAGGCCTAGGATAATAATTTTTTTTTTAAATATAGGACGACTTATAAGTTGGGACCTACACAGGCTAACGGGTCAGGCTAGACCCAATGTTTTTTGTACAGGTCTAACCTATTTAAGCCAAAGTCTAGCCTAACCTAACCTATTTACATCCCTAGTGACAACAAATGTTGAGATTTTACAACAGATACATTTATCAGTGGGGTCCATATTTAAAAAATAAATAAATTAAAGCACACAATTTGATGAGTCTATGACAGGAGATTATACTTTTGCGGTGTAAACGGAAGTATAAATCCCTTAAATTAAGACAAACTTGTGGGTTTCATCACTTAAAAAAAATGACACAGTTATCGAAGGGTGTGTAGAAGAAAAAACCTACCTCATGTAGAGTGAGAATAGTTTTTCCCTTAAATTAATTATCCCAACAAGATTTAGAACCCGCCTATTTGTTTGTTTTAATAAAGAGAAATAATTATCTCATGTTGCATGAAATAATTATCTCATGGAATATGATATAATTAATAGATCCCTTTAATAAAATAAACAAGTTGATGATAATAATGAAAGTCGTTGTTGTTCCCAAAATTCAAAGGTCGAACAATAGGATGGAAGATTGTTTCACAAGTTAACAAATTTAATAATAATCAGCATAGAGACTAGTCGTTTTTTGTTTCCAATTTTTTCCAGGTCAAACTTGGCTATACTAAAAATAAAATCAACTTCATAGATGGTAAATCACGGAGTAAAATTTGTGAAGCTAAATCAGGAAATATATATAAACAACAATTTAATTTTAATGATAGTCGGTGTATAAGTAAAAAAATTTATATAAATCACGTGGTATTTGGTTGCCAACGGATGCCGATTAATCTCAATTCAACTTGGGTAGGATTGTAAATACGACAAAGTTCTCTCTCCCAAAATTTTTTTAATACATTTCATGTTTAGTTATATATGATAATATGTGTTGTGACATCATTTGATGAAACAACTATCTCATGTTAATATAATTAAAATCATTAAATAAGATGGTAATATAAGACGAATAGTAGTGTAAAAATATTTTACGCATCAAAATCAAACTCATATTCTTTTAGTGATACTATCAAAGAAGGAGTAGGAATTCACTAACAATGTATATTTAATGGTCAATAATTATTATACGTTTTCAATTCAAAAAGTTAATAATTATTGTATATGTTTAGAAAATTTGAATACAATTAAAATTTTATATTTTGCTCTGTGAACGGGTTAAAATACTAATAATCTAATAATCAATAACTAGTGCTGCATTAGAGCACTCCTTTAATCTTGAAAAGATGCATATATTGACTACTATGGCCTTAAAACTAGATATTAAAATGCATTCAGTTTCTCTTACCAAATGATCCGTGCCTGACAACATCCATCATATCCTAGTTTTTGAAATGAACAATGAATCAAGGACTCTTTATAATAATCATGATCACTTATTCACCAACATATGGACAAAGAGAGCACATCCCAGAGTTGTGCACAAATACAAAGCCCACATGAACCTTTATTCGGTGTTACAATATATGAAAGTATATATAATAAAGTATAAACACCAATAGAAATCACGAGATCAGAATTAAGGACAATAGAATAACGACAGATAAAAATAAAAGAAAGAAAAAAGAAGCTCAAGGGCAAAATACAACCCCATAGTTGGTTCCTCCAGGACATGAGAAGGTGCTGGTTGCATCATCCTTAGGGTAACTGTACGCTTCAGGGCACCTGTCCTTGAAGTATCTGGAGTAAGTAGTAGGACCGCAGCTACCAGAGGAGCAACAATACTGAGTGGTATTGTACACAGTGCATGGATTGTGGCATCCACCTGTAGCCTTCAGCTGACGTGGACACTCTCCGTTGATGTTACCGGTGCAATTAACGGCCTTGCACAAGGTAGAGTTTGGGCTTATTATAACCGGAATATTGAACCCATCGACGAGTGAGATGTCGTAGAAGTCCAGGTTGTTGTATTGGTTTAAGGCAAATTCGACAAGTGTGTTCGGTGCTGTGCCGTATGATTTGCACTCCAGAACACCCTCACAGTCACCTGTCTCGCACTTCCCGCGTCCTGCACGGTCGAAGCTGCAATTGGTTCGACCCCAAATGCGTGCTCCCGTGGTGCCGTTTGTCATGTTGAAGCTCCATGTTTCGCCGGAGTTAAGCCTCATGCCGCCGCCAGGCATGGCTGCTGCCCACACGGTGTGGTTGCATCTGTTTGTGATGTCGAATTTGGCTGCCTGAGCTGCAGCGATGCAGCTTATGGCGATGAAAAGGAAAACGGAGAGGCTTTTCATGACCGCAATTATAATTTACCTGTGTTGCAAAGAGTTCAAGGAAAAGGGATGAGAATTGGGTTTATATATAATTATATTTATAGGATGGTTTTGAAAAATTCATCTGATGATGTCATGTATTAGATATAAGTTACGGACTAGAAGACAAGTCAATTATTTGGCAATACAAATAACTGAATTTGTAGAAGAACATGGTAGCTTAGCAAAATGGGTCACGTTAATTAAAACGTGGTTTGAGCCGTGATTTTAGAAATCTGGTGAGTTAAATACGGGTCAGATTCTCCTGCCTCCATTGGTAAGAAACCTCTTCTAACCTTCTCAAGTTCTTCTTTATTTTATACGAAAGTAAGATATTTTTACTACCAAAAATACTCATATCAATCCCCAGTATCATCTTTGGTAGGGGTTTAAAACCTTAATTCTGGACCCGCCTCGAATCAGACTAGTCGCGAAGCGATGAATCGATGGAATATTTCCAAAAAAAAAAAAGAGAAAAAAATAATGTGTTAAACAGTGTTTGATTGTGAGTAACAATAGTACATGTGACCGTTGTATGAAAAATGGACTTCTATCTAATTATCATTGAATCAATATTCTCTCTTTTCGTAAACTTTTCAGCATTCTCTCTATGATTTAATAGTGATTAGATAAGTAATGAGTTGATACTGAATTTTTTTGATAATAAGAATATCCCCTCATTTTTTACTTGGGGTCTCGGAAGACGATGCTGTAAAGAAATATACAGTTGCCAAAAAAGAAGAGATGAAAAATCAATTTCCATCCAATCACCCAACCAATAAATAGATTTATGAGTTTTCATCTGAAGTCGTAATAAATCAACGTGAGGACAATAATCAACCCACTATTGTTGAAACTGGAAATACGCAAATGTGAATTAGCAAGCTAGCTTCAACACGCAAGAAGTAACCTATCTATGCACGGTTTAATGAATATTGTTTTATATAAAAATAAATAAAAGTGTACAAGAAGCGCGTGTATCAATTACATAAGAAAGTTTTGGAGCTCTGTAACATCTGTTCACAACATTATTTATGCTAAAATTTATCTCCAAAGCATAATCTTTTGCAGTTCCAATTTTTATATGATTAATTCGCAGACATTTATCTAATGATAAGAGAATAATTAGTTACGAAATATGTTTAAGGATTCATCATCCCAATTGACAAATGTTTAATTGTTGGAACAGGAGGCAATGAATTTGGGGTCAAATCAAGCACCTAAATCATATATGTCGACTCATGTTGCTCCTTGTAAATTTAATGTTAACATATATCATTTTCATTCTTAATAAACTAATTGGGATGAAAGTGGTAAAAAAAAAAAAGAATTCAAAGTCAAAAGTCACATTTGAATTTTGTGTAGAGCCGAAGGTTGAAAAACGAGCGCTGAATACCTGTATAAAATAAAAGTCAATTGTGTAAAACATGGTCGAAGTTAAGTCTTAAATCTTATTGTTAAATTTTCGAATTTCTTTGATCCTGATCTTCTAGATTCGGTGGATGATGCCTTGAAGTTTGATGTATTATATTTACTTGCGTGTAAACTAGGAATCAGAAAAGTCAAATTATTCATATCCCCTCTACACATTAGTAAGGAAGGAGGCCGAAGATATTTGGGCTTTATAGGATTGAGGCCCTTAATAAGGAACATGGGTTATCTTAATGGGCAGAAATCTATCTCCATCATGAGACACTCAAGCCCAGGCCTACAATATCTTCATCATAATAAACCGTTCATCTCCGTTACCTCATTATTCATTAACTAGTCACAAGAAAATTGCAATGCAAGCCGTTTATTAACTTTAAAAAAATAAAAAAAAACGGCCGTCTCTCTCCATTAGCTTCCAACGTAAGCTGCTTCTGCAGCACACTAAGAAGCGGTTAAAACTACCCAAACCACTTATTATGTCATTTCAAACTTCAGACTAATATCTGTCTTTGCTTGCTTTCTCCAGCATTTTCTTTCACACTCCTACTCAGTAACGTCCTCCTTTTCCCTTCAGCAATTTTCGAGTAGTTACGAGTAGAAATTTCATACTTGAGCATCTTCTACTTCATTTTAGCAACGCGCTTTCCATGTTCTGTTTTCCTTTTCATAAAATATCTGCAAATAATGAAATAATCTGCCACTTGAAGCTGAATCCATTATCGTCTAAACGGATTGAAACTCGTGTTATTAAATATTTTGTTTATGATTATTATCTGTGGTCTTTGTTCGCAATGTGATCATTATTATGCGTCATTTTCTGTTGAAGGATTTGATTTAGAAAAAAGAGTCATGTTGGAGGTTAAAAAGGAGCTCGAGGATTTCGAATCTGATTCACCTCATAAAGATGGGCTCCATTTGTGTCTTTCTTCGCCCAATTGCAATTGCGATACCTCTCTTCTGAAATCAACACCTGTTGCAGGGTAAGCTACTCTGTCTAAATCTAAAATTTCATCTCCATTTCCATCTTAAAGCATTATATAATGATTTCGAACTAAGCATATGCTATACATGAAATAGATTCCATGATCATGGAACAAGTAAATCATGAAACGGATTCGGGGAAATATCATCTTTCTTGAAGCCTATATAATTATAGAAGGGGCCTTACAGAATTTTGATCCAGTCGAAGTTTTTATTGACACTTCCTGGTATCAAGCCTCGAATGTTGTTGTTTTTTTGGGATTTGGAAATCGATTCGTGTTTGGCTTCTAGAATTTTTTGCTAGTCAGTTCTAGGTACTTTGGACTTTTTAAACGCCCTTATTAAAAATGCATTCTATTGCTTAGTGCTAATTATTTTTTCACAAAAATTGATAGGAGAATAAAAGCCCAAGCTAGACGCTCGACAAAGGGATGCTGGACAGAGGAAGAGGTCTGTCGCTTGATTTTAACCCTCTCTTTTTTCCTTTTCAAAACAATCGGAAGCCACAGTTTCCTAATTGTGAAATTTTTGTTGTGTGCTCTTTGAAATTTTTGTTGTGGAAATTTCCCTTTAAACGGAAGTTGCAATTTTCCTTCTTAATATCGAAATATTTGAAAACAGAGAAACTACAATGACGAGTGATTACCAAATTCCCTAAAATAAAGCTAATATGCATACTGCAATGAAGTACATGGGTTTTATACTCTCTTTTTTCTTTTGTTATCCTTTCTCCGGATTTTTTTTTTTTTTGTTATCTTACATTTTGCAGTATTAACGCTTCCTAACTTGGCCATCCTGTGGCTCTGACAAACAGGACAACCTTTTGATTGAGACTGTGAAGAAGCACGATGGAAAGAACTGGAAGAAAATAGGTGGATGTGGCAAAATCAGTATCAGTTTGAACTATTATTTCTTGTGTCTACTCTCAACTGAAATTATCTTAAAGGCTAAAGCAACATGTTGAGAACTTAATACAACTCGCCAACTATTGGCTAGTGTCTACTCTTTTATACTGCATTTTGGGTTTTTTCACCGCTGCATTGTTAAGAGATGCTTTATAAAACTATAGATTGCTCCTCCGTTATGAAATTTAGTACACTGAGATACTGTTAATGACATTCTTTGTCATCTTTGAATGCATTCATGCAGGAGTTAATTGCCATATACTCTTTTAGGCTTATTGCTAACCAAGTTAATCTGGTTGCCAAACTGGTCCTTTACAGCTACATACCTCCCTGGGCGAACTGACGTCCAATGCTTGCATCGCTGGCAAAAGGTTTTAAATCCTGATCTTGTAAAGGGATCATGGACAGAGGAGGTGCACTTCTACTATACTTTAACTTTTGTTATAATTTTTTAATGTACTAAATGCTGTTTGTTGAAATGTTGATTGTAATTGAGGTCTGCTTCTCCATTTAATGTTTTAGGAGGATGATTGCCTCGTTGAGCTAGTCAGAAAGTATGGTTTAAAGAGATGGTCTGTTATTGCAAATTCCTTGCCAGGTCGTATTGGGAAGCAATGCAGAGAGAGGTAGGCAATAACAGACCTTATAAGTGCCCTTATGTTTGTGGCATAGAGTGGGTATTTTTATGTATCCTGTTAATTTCTCCTTTTTTTTTCTTATTTGATGCATTACTATTGCGGTAACCCAATGACAACTTTTGTATGCAATTTTACTATTCATTCGCAGACAATTTTCTATAGCCTTTGTCGGATTTCAATGCTTGATTGATGTCTAACTGACTCATCAAGAAGATATTTGAGTTAGATTGTTTATGTTGGACGCATATGTTAGATAACCTAGGTGTTGTATTGATAATGGGTTTAAGTTTTCTTATGTTGTAGGATTGTAGGAGATAAAAAAAGTAGAGAGGAGTTAAATGTGGGTCCCATATTTTATATTAAAAAAGAAAAGAAAAATTAATTGACACGAAAAACGAATTAGTGTAGAAAAATGACGTACTCTTATGTAGCATAAGAGTATTATTTCCCATTGATAATATATTTGACAGATCACTGTTTGTATATTTCCAATGAATTATGTTGCCAGAAAATGAAGTAATAATTAAGTAGTTATCATTTCAGGTGGCACAATCACCTTGATCCAGCTATAAAGAAGGATGCATGGACGGAGGAGGAGGAATCAGTACTTGCTTACTATCACCAAATATATGGCAGTAAATGGGCAAAAATTGCAAAGATTCTTCCTGGAAGGTACTTATCTGATACTATTACGCAGGCTTTTCAACCTGCATTCTAACAATATATATTTCAAAACATGCATAAATATTTAATAGTTGATTTTGAGGAAAAGATGAGCAGTTAATTGATGGGTCATTTCCATTGTATGCCTAAGTTATCCTTTATGTATCTCTCTTGTGACTGTATTGCCCTTGTCACCTCACCTCTCCCTAGAAAAGCAAGGTAGGCAAATAAAAGTAGAACAATAATATTGAAGATATTGATAAATGTATTTGCATTTCTGAAGCAGCTTCATATCATCCTGTTGTCTATTGAACCATGATAATTTTTTATTTCTTTTGGGCAAGCCAGGACTGACAATGCTATAAAAAATCATTGGAACTGCTTAATGAAGAAGAAATTGGATACATCCTCACCTTTTGGGTGTGACATGAAGGTTTCCACTTCCAGTTTCTGCGCTTCTCAAATAAAGCCAGCGCATGTGTTGGTCAAAGTTGAGGATCAAAGTTTCAATGGAATGGTGTCTCTCCAGCAGAGTCACTGGTTGAACCAGAGTGTTGATAACTTTCCAACAAAACTTGTTCTTCAAAATGCTTCTGGAGAGGAATTTTGCTCTAGAAAAAGCTGTTGTGAGGAGGGAACTCCTGGGGCCTCGAGACAAGGTGAAAGCAAACTGATTAATTTACCAAATGAGATAGACACTGTTACATGTTGCAAAGACCATACCAACCCTACTTGCACAATTAAATCTATGGAGTCGTCTTTGAATAATTCTCTGGACATGCTTACTAAAAATTTGGATTGTTTCCCTCTTGCCACAACTATTACTTATGAGGCCTATAAATCTCTCAAAAGGCAAAAGGTTTCTTCTTCGAATATAAAGTCTATTGTGGGTGACGAATCTGACAGCCCCCATTTGAGCTACTCAAAATCGTCTAATCGTGAGAAGAAAGATCAAGTTGGATGGGGAAGCAACAATAAAATCAACAGTATGCCACGCAATGCAGACGGCATAAGTAAAGAATATGATTACCTTTCTAATGAACTCCCCCCGGTGGAAGATTTGGTGTCCCCTGCAGAATTCAATGAATGTCTAAGACCAAAAACACACATCGAGTGCGCGGACAATGAAGGTTCCCATTATACTCCCCCAACGTCTATACCCAGGAATTACATAAGCGGCATCAGCCCAGAATCCGTACTAAGAAGCTTAGCAATGACCTATGAAAATATTCCCTCTATTATAAGGAAAAGAACTCCCAGTAAGGCAGGCAGTGCCAACTATTATGACAGTGCCCAAACACCATCGTCTGTACTTCTGAAGCAGAACATGTTATTGGTTTAGATAATCTAAAACTGAAACAGGGGTTTATTCCATTCCTTCGTAGACCAAATTACTCAGCCATAGCCAAATCTCCGGAAGGATGCATGGAATGATGGAATATGCTTGTATTATTTGACATATAACCTTAACATAAACAGCAAACATTTTCTACAAGGGTTGCATTTCTGTAGTTCTCAGAAAAGAGTAGGCTGATGCAGGAGCTTATAATATACATCTTGTCTATCCATTCTAAAAGAAGCTGTTATTGGAGTTACGACTCCACAAAATGTCTATTAGCGCTGTTTGTTTTCTTTTGTATCAAAAAAACGAAGAATTCGTTTACACCCTTTTATAATTGAGATTTATTAATCTTACGTCATATAAGATAAGATAGGTAATTCATGTAGGTAAAAAAAAATTGTGAGGCCTACAATTTTTAAAAAAATATGAGCACAAGATTTTATGAGTGTGCAACCTAAGATAATTATTTTATGTGATACAAGACAACTATTTTCCTTTATAATTATATCATAAATATTGATTTTCACTAATTAGTAATTATTAATTATTGTGAATTAATAATTAATTAATAAATTTGATTTGAAAAATAATAATTATTGATTGACAAAAATCAATAATTAAAATATAGTTGTAAAAAACTATAAATAAAAATAAGTTATAAATATAACTTTCTTTTTAATAAATAAATAAATAAAGTTGGACTGTTTGGCCTAAGCTTTTTTTGTATATGGGAAAAATGGTTTTATCTAGAGGCAGAACTTGGGCCTAAATTGTTGTAGTCTTGCCCGCATTTACCTGTTTTGGGTATCTTTCACGGGATTTGTTAATCTCATGTGGCATAAGATGGCTTATCACATGTTATAAAAATAAATTATGTGGGTCCCGTCATTTTTTAAAAAATCAAAAAAAAAGAAAAAACAATGGTGCGACTTTTAATGTCTCACTCACATAAAATAGTTCTCTTTTACGACATAAGATAATTTAAACCCATCTTTCACCCATAAATAATCCTAAAACACTTCAATCCATAAGGCTGATCCGTTTTGCAGCCGAAGACAGAGGAAATGGCTCTTTGACCCTTATGACCCTTAATTAATAATTAATTACCAAATTGCCCTTCATTCAAAACTATTTCGAAAATTTACTCTCCCCAACAAACATAACACCAATCTGCCCCTGTTTGACCGTTGACCACGAAGCCTACCCAGGTACACCATTACCTACCCGGGTAATTTTTGAAAATTTTTTATCTACACGAGTATGTAGGAGTGTACCCGGGTAGAGTTCTTGAATCTGGAAAAATGGTTGAATTATTTACCCGGGTATGGATCAGTGTACCCGGGTAAATAGCGTCCAGAAACCCCAATATGTATGGGTTTCGGCCATTGTTGCGAGGTATAGGGTTTTTGAAACCCCAAATCTCTCTCTCTTACCCTCTCTAATCCGAAACATCACACATATTTCATCTCATCATTTCAGAAAGCTGAATCTTGGTGGGACATTGAGATTACATCTCCACACTCCCATTTTGTGCTCAAAAATCCGAACCAACCTCCAAACCCAAAACCTAGATCTAATTTTTGTGTGAAAGATGAGTTCAAGTCCAAACATGGTTCCTATAGTTATTTACTACAATGGGAGGCATTTTGAAGGTCCGAACGGTGTCCGATTTGAAGGAAAAACAAAAACGATGAAAATCAAAGTGGGCACTACATGCAATGAACTGAAGGAGAGAATTCTTCAAAAAAATGGGGTCAGAAGGCATACATTCCATCCACCGCATGATAGCCAGGTTAGAGACTGTAGTGGATATGGATACAATATACTACATTGGATATGGATACCAATACACTGCTCCATACCCGGGTAAATAATTCAACCATTTTTCCAGATTCAAGAACTCTACCCGGGTACACCCCTACATACTCGGGTAGATAAAAAGTTTCAAAAATTACCCGGGTAGGTAATGGTGTACCCGGGTAGGCTTCGTGGTCAACGGTCAAACATGGGCAGATTGGTGTTATGTTTGTTGGGGAGGGTAAATTTTCGAAATAGTTTTGAATAAAGGACAATTTGGTAATCAGTTATTAATTAAGGATCATAAGGGTCAAAAAGCCGAGAGAAAATGTATAACAATTAACAAAATGTATACCTACAATTTGCTGGAAGGACGGTCAAGGATAATTTTTTTTTAATCTTTCTGAAATACATGTTATACCCACTTAAATAACAACAAATGACTCATTTAATTATATTTACATTCGTTTCCAGGTAATTTCTTCACTTCTGACATCAAGTAAGTTCATGTGTTTGTAATTTAAATGTATGTAGTATGTATTACAAAATGACTTAAAATAAATCTCACAAATGTAAGAGCTGTAAAACACGAAAACCTTTAAAGGTGATAATCAATTAATAATCGAATGATCGAAATATTTTGCAAATATCAAGAATCTCTAGGTTCAGGATTTAAAATATATAAAACAATAGATTAATGGAGCTCATTTTTTATTTTATTTTATTTTGGGTGGGGGGGGGGGGGGGGGGGGGGGGGGGGGGGGGTAGGCAGTGGAGCTCACTTTACTAAAACATTAGTAGGTGCTTTTAACACGCTAGTAGGAAAAAATTCTTTTAAATTGAATTTATTTTTTAAATGAGTAGGATGAATATATTTATCCTTAAATTTGAGTGAGTTAAAATCACGCATCTTAAATTAGATCCATAATTAATATACATTTATTTGTTTAATTTTTTTAAAAAAAAATGAACTTATCTCATCAACATATATTCCATAACTCACATCCTATATATATTTCTTTAATTCTTTAAATGTTTATGCCAATTTAAGTCAAAGGTTATATATTTCTTTTTCAGCTCTTATTTGAATATTTAAGAAATTATAAATTCATCTAATGAAATTTTTGATTGAAATAGAAATATGGAACATTTAATTACTTTTTCTTATTCAAAATTAATATTATATAAACTTATTTCAAAACATTTTACCCGTTTCATCTCATATTTTCTAAATATAAATAAAATTACTTGGGTCCACCACTGTCCTATCTATAATATGGTGTACTTCTTAGTTTGTTTGAAGCACTGATATTTTTGAAAAAAAAAGTTGGACGAAGTTACTCATAAGAGATTAAGTGCAGTATTAAGGAAACTATCATCTTATAAAAGTTAAAAAGTTCGAGTACTTAAGACAAAAAAAGTTGCACGAAATTTCTCTAATCACATTACTTATGTCGTGGGAAACCTAAGAAAAGAAGAAGAAAGTTACCCGAAATTGAGTATAAAAGATAACATGTGAATGGGTACAAGAAGGTACTGTGAAGGAAAAAAAAAAAACAAGACATAATATAGTACTAGCTAACGTTACTTCCGCACAAACTTTATCAAGGTCTTTTTGTGATTTTTTTTTCCTTATCATTGCATTATGTTATCTTCTGATATCAGATCTCTTGTGTGAAAATATAAGAATATTTTGAATTCTCAAACGGGAAGGATATTGTAACAATCAATTAATATTACTACCAATATTACTGTCAATTAATTTTATCGTTAGATCAATTACGTGGATCCAACGGTTATATTTATTTCTATTTTTGTATGGTTATGATTTCTCATATTTAATATTTTATATTTATTTTCACCTGGTTATGATTTCTAATATTTAATGCTTGCATATTAAATATAGGGAATCATAACCATATAAAGATAAAAAAAATGTTAGATCAACATAATTGATCTAACGGTGAAATTGATTGATAATAATATTAATTGATTGTTACAATATCCTACCCATTCTGAAAATATAAAAATGTAAGCATTAGTGTATATTTTTATTCAGTTTAGACACTTATCATAATTTTATAATGAGATAATTATTCTTAACCTTAAATTTTTCATGTAAAATAAATAAGCCTTTGGATGAAAGAAAACATTAAAAATTTATATATTTATTATTATTAAAATTTGGATTGACAAGTTACACTTATTACTTGAATTTTTTATCAATCATCTTTACATTTAATTAAATTTTATCAAAATGTGGATTAATTATTTCCCAAGTGTACAACATCACTAGGAAAAGAATCTGAATCAAGAGATATAGCTACTAATCCAATAATTAATGAAATTAATATTTCTTATATTGTGAGGGATAATTTTATGTGAAGAGAAGATAAAAAAAAATTCACACATTTCTATTTATGTATAAGAAATAAATTTATTTCTTATAATATGAAATAATTAAATATGTTTATTTCTTAACCCATAATTAATATAGTTAAGATCATCTGGAAGCTAAAAAATCCCGTAGAAGATTTGATCCATAAAGGGAAAAAATATAAATAAACCTTGCAGTTCGAATGGAAGTGCGTTATGTGCCCCAGTGGGCCCCCGTCGATGATAAACATTGCAACACGTGTAAATGTGGAAGTGCATAATAACATCGGACAAATTAAAAGGCATAAAAATAATAATAAATAATAATAATGAGAAATGAATGAAGGATGAGGAAGGTTCTGGAAAGTGGATTACCAAACCAACGGTCCAAAGCCTTATTCGGATGAAGCCACGGCCGTGATCACAGCTCCGCCAAGTAACACGTAGCATCCCTTATCCATCAAAACTTTCTTCTAGCGCCTTCTTAGTTCTGCCTCTCCGTGGGCCCCACTCATTTTGGACCTCTCCAATTTATTTTTTCTTTTTCTCATTTGCCTTTCCTTCTCAAATCCACAGGAGCTCCTATTTTTACTACTATCTTTTGCATCATTTAGTCTCTCCTTCGAAACTTCTAGAAACAACAAAAACCAACCGTTTCTCTCTCTCTCTCTCTCTCAGCCCGTGGTTTTGCTGCAACGAATTACGACCGTGTTTCTGGTTTTCCGTTGGGTAGGGGTGAAGATTTCGGGCCTTGTTAATATCCCAATCCATCTCTATCAGATAGATCAAGGTAACTAAATAATAGCACATAATTATTGCTTCGTAGATTAATATTATTTTGTTTAACCATATATATTTTTAGAATAATAACAAGAATAATCTGGGTTAGCTAAGTGTAGGTAGAACCTGGAGAAGGTTCTAACCTTTGCCGTTGGTATTTTTGTTATCCCCTTCCTTGTAGATGTAATCTAATTTGTGGAATCGAACTGTTGCAGCAAAGCACCATATTGAAATAGTTGGTGAAAACTAGTTATGTTTTAAAAGCCGCATATGAAAATCGGAGGCACAAGAAGTTGATTAATTATCGAGGTCGAATTCCAGATCTGGTAGCGGTGTTCATGGCGCCTATATCGGCGGAGCAGACCGGTGAATCAGCACCGGCAGACTCGCAGAGATCCGTTCCGACGCCGTTTCTGACGAAAACATTCCAGCTCGTGGATGATCCCTCTGCAGATGACCTAATTTCCTGGAACGATGATGGCACAAGCTTCATAGTTTGGCGACCAGCTGAATTCGCTCGAGATTTGCTTCCTAAGTATTTTAAACACAATAATTTTTCCAGTTTCGTCCGTCAGCTTAACACCTATGTAATTTTATTTCCCTTTTTTTTTATTCTTTTGTTTTCTTTTCCTTTCTAGGATTTTCTCAGCGGCCAAACGGATTATCGGTTTGTGTTTAATTTGCAGGGATTTCGGAAGGTTGTCCCTGACCGCTGGGAATTTGCTAATGACTATTTCCGGCGAGGCGAGAAAGGCCTGCTTCGCGAAATACAGCGGCGGAAAATATTGCCGGTGACGGCGGGAGCAACGGCTAATACTGTAACGGTGGCTGTGGCGGCACCGGGCAGAACGGTGTCACCAACAACTTCGGGCGACGAACAGGTACTATCCTCGAACTCATCTCCGATTGCTGCGAATAATAGTAATACAGTGCACCGCACCACGAGTTGCACCACTGCGCCCGAGCTCTTAGAAGAGAATGAAAGGCTTAGGAAAGAGAACATGCAACTGAGTCACGAGTTGAGTCAATTGAAGGGTCTATGTAATAACATACTCGCCTTGATGACCAATTATGGTTCTGGTTTTAGCCGCCAACTAGAATCGTCTACTAGTGCTGTGAGGGCTGTACCTGTACCTGAAGGGAAAGCGTTGGAGTTTTTGCCTTCAAAGCATGTTTTATTAGCCGAGGATAATGCTGTGCATGTGAGTGGCGCTGGCGACACGGCGGAAGCAGAGGTTCCCAAGTTGTTTGGGGTTTCGATTGGGCATAAACGATGTAGGAGTAGGACAGAGAGCGAGAACGAGACCGAGAGAGAAGAACAGAATCAAACGCTAACGCAAACACGATCCTCTCAGGAACCAGATGATGTAAAATCTGAACCGCTTGATGGTGAGTACTCAGATGATCAGGAGCCTCGTTGGCTGGAGCTTGGAAATAACGCGCCTTCGTAATTCCTACTTGATGAATTGGCAAAGGAAAGTGTGTGTTTGGTTGTTGCTTTGTAACTCCATGGCCACACGCGGCCAAACAGGCACACACTACATTTTGCGTTACCCGAACGCTACACACAACACACTACTAGCGTTGCGCCGCTGCCAATGGGGCTGACAGGCAACTTGAATTTCCATGTGCTGTATGTGATGTTACATTAGGAGAAAGGGCACTTCTTGTTCTTAAATAATAATAATTAAACCCGCCATTGGAGTGAACGTCTAAAAAGTCATGCTGCTTGACTGTGGAACCTTGCAAAAGAAAACAAATCTTGTTGATAGCAGTGGACAGTTAACGCATGCAAATGGAGTAACTGAAACAATGGAGGGCAGCCCTTTAAAAGATTTAAATTACCTTTTTTAGAAGGAAAATGTGTGGGATACAACTAAATATGTAGACAAGTGTCTGATATCATAAATTTTTCTAATTTGATTAATGTATTGTAATGTTTCCATCCATTGGACGGAGTTCCTTCTTAAGTTTCATGATTCTAATATGTTTTTTTATTTCTTTATGGGATTCCGTTTGTGAATGCTGAATGGGTCCTACACTAGAACTAGTCTTTTTTTAATATGTTACTTGATTAGTTTGTTTTGAATTATAAATTTTTCTTTAAAATGTGTTTAAGAAAGAATCTTTTATTTTAAAATGTAACTTATACATGATTTTCATGTCTGATTCTTACTGTTCGGAAATCTTAAAATTGTTTAGTTTTTTACTTGATTAAATTTCTCTTCTATTCACCTTTTAAACACTTTATTTAATTTTTGTGGATTTTTGGCCCAAACCAAATCTAGTTTTGGCCCATATCTGACTTCTCAGTCGATAAAGCTAACAGTGTCTTTAGAGCGACCATTGGGAACCTGATGGGCTTCGGGCTGGAAGACAACAGCTCAGCTTAGGTTAAAGTACAAACTTAGCTAGATCTGGTACGCAAGCGCTCTGTGACATTCTCAATTTCGTCTTAGCTATTGCCACCATAACATGATTTTTCATGTTACGGTAAGAAGGCCCGTGTAAGTATGTGCCGTTCCAGTTTGGCGACATTAATGTACATTCTGTTTACTTCTTGAGAAGAAAAATCTAAGACAAAACGGAACTACAAAATTTTCAATAATTTCTTCTCTAGAATAAAAGAGAGAATCCCTATATAAAATCTATCGTGCAAAAAACTCCAGTTCAATTTATTGATTCATAGACACTTGTATCCTCTAAAGTGAAGTGGTAACGAAACGATATGTTTTTAATTATTATTTTTTAAGTAAAGGAGAGTTCCTTTGATAGAATTTCGTAAATGTATATTTGGAAGAGGAAGTTTTTCCATATTTTATTCATCTTTAAAGAGACAGGAGATGCAGTGCAACATTAAAACACCTAAAATTGGAACAAATTAAAGTATTATCCTACTAAAATCAGTACTCCACTAGCTTTAACTTTGGAATTGCTTCCTAAAATTCTAACCACCTCATGCATCATAAAACCTCTTCCTTCATGATTTTACTAATTTTAACATTGGAAGTTAATTCCTAAACGTTATTTTTTTAATATTAATCGACGAAAGTTTAGATTAGGTTTTTTGTTTTTTAAAAAATTGATGAAAACTTAAGAGTGAAAGACATGCCTTCTATCAAGGTTAGAGAAGACAATTATTCATCAATGAAAGTTTATGATAAGATTATATATCATTTATAAGGGGAAGGATATTGTGACAACCAAGTTGTGTTATTATCAAGTGACTACCAATCAATTTTATCGTTAGATTGATTATGTTGATCCAACGGTTATATTTATTTTCATCTTTGTATGGTCATGATTCCTCATATTTAAAGTGAAAGCATTAAATATGAGAAATCATAACCATACAAAGGTGAAAATAAATATAAAGTATTAAATTTGGGGAATCATGACCATACAAAGATAGAAATAAATATAACCGTTAGATCAATATAATCGATCTAACGGTAAGATTGATTGGTAGTCACTTAGTAGTAACATAACTTGATTGTCACAATATCATTTCCCATATTTATAAAAAGGGAAACTTAAGAATAAAACTCAAATCACAATTAATGTGGGTGAGATATACAATTAGGCGGGTTAGTCCTAATAGATTAAACATTACTTGGTATTGTTGTCAAAATTGCATGTTAAAAGATTGTAGGATAAGAGTGTCTTGTTGGTCGTTCTCTTTACCTTAATCTACTGGAGACCCATGGATTAAAATTGTATCAAATCACTTGTGTAAAAATAGATTACATGGTTGTTATAAAATAAAAAATAAAAAAAATAGATTACATGGTTAGTCCAAATAAAAATGATTCTAATCAAATAGGAGTAACGAATACGAGTCAAAATCGTTGTTAAACAACGAGGGGTTGAATTGGAAATATATAGGCGTGGGTAAAAAATAATAATGTACTATAACAATTAATAAATGAGTTCTACTTTAATGGGACTATAAAATTTTTAAAAATGCTTTGATTCTCCCTTTATATCAACTTAACTTACTTTTTTTATACGTTTCAGTATTTTCATTATGTTATGGACTCTGGGCTCATTAAGTGGTAAGTTCAATCAGAGGCAATCTAAGATACGGATTGATATTAACAAATGATAGATATCCATCAAGGATACTAATCCTAATACGACAGCATAGCAAATAGGCCTAGGCCCTCATCAGAGGTATCAAAGGCCCATCCACACTACCCACAGGTAACCTCTATAAATACAAGGTAAACCCTAGAGGTACGGTACGCTCTCTCTCTTACTGTTATGTTGTCACTGTGCGCACACACACCCTATTGGCTAACGCCGTTACAATATTCTGTGCACAGTAATCTACTTGACTCGAGGGTATCTCATTCATAGATAACTTGGAGAGGACACTAGATCTAAGATCAACGTGCCAGCCTACTGGGCTGAACATCTCTGTCTTAAGGACAGAACATATTAAAATATTATTTTACATACGAATCGAAACTAACCTCTTGGAATTAATATGAAAGAATTTTCTTGTTATAAAATATAATTTGTTTTCTATTTGGCATTGTGTGCGCATGCAGAGTTTCTTAAGCGCGGAAGGTGTTCCCCGCGCGCGCACACACACGTCAACATACACAACTTTTTTTTTTCCAAACTTCTTTTATAATTATTATGCTCTCAGTTACCACTCATATTTCACCCACATTGTCTTATCTCACTATTTTTAATTTTGTTTTGTACATTATGCTCTCACTATTTGCTTGCCGTGAAAACCGATGTACTTTGGGTAGAAATTCCTTTGCTAGCTACAAGTGAAAGTCTAAATAGACTAGACCCGATTACAGGATTTTACGACTTAGTCTATATCGGATCAGACTTGATCTATTACATTTAATTAAATAGAACAGGTTTAAATTTTTAAAATAGGATTCGTTTTTTATGCAGACGAGTTATCTGCAGTAAGTCCAATATGACGTTGTTTTAGAGTGAAATTATGGTATTTTTGTAATTTTAATTTATTCAGGGTTATTATAGTCTTTGTAATTATAACTTTCTAATCTTTCAATCTCAAAACGATATCGTTTTGGAAGTAAATGTAGATAATTTATCTGCATTAACTGCAAGAATATTTTTCTGCTTAAAAAAACTATTTAGAAAACAGTGATAGGTTTTCTTTATATGACGGGCCTTTAAGTCTACATGTCGATCTATATTATATTATTTATTTTAAATAAAATAAATAAATTATTATTTTTATGATTTTGGAAACTGAAGTAATATTATTTTTTTAATTATTAAATATTTAATAAGCTTAAATAAGCTAACAGGCTTAGGCCAAGGTTTTTGTTTTTTAAATATAGGTTAGGTCAGACTTGTAATTTAAGCTTACAGACTAGAAGATCGGGTTAGACCTAAAGTATTTTATACAGATCTAATCTATTTAAGTCAAAGTCTATCCTAAGCTAACCTATTTACAAAGCTTATTTGTTTGGAACTTGCTGAAAACAATATCGCTCTACTACATAAACAATTTTTTTTAAAGAATTTTAGTGACAAAAATTAGTTGCTTTTGAAATGATAAGTTATTGAAGGACGGACATTCTGTTTTCTTTAAGTAAGAATGGACCCATCCCACTTTTAAATAATTTAATGTTTTGGACCTTAATTTTGAAAATTTGGCGTAAAGTTTTTTCTCCCTCTAAACTTTTAGTCATGTTCTGCCACTGAATGTCTGATTTTGATTATTAAATCAACATGAATTTTCAAGGAAAACTGCAGTATGAATTTTCATGTAGGCTTTGGCCGTTTCGTTTTTTCCAATTTCCATGTGCTGACAAAGACTCTGTGAAACACTGCGTACAGTAGCTTTGCCATTGCGTGCAATTTTCAAATTTTGTGATTATTGAATTCATATCATACAGTAGTTTTTGGTAACTATCATTATTATCAATAGAATTGATTTTGTGCATTATATAAATTCCCACGGAAAGAAAATTTGATTCAGAAAATAGTAATAAATCATACTATTGCAAAATCTAAATAAAGAAAAACAGTTTAATTAAATTGTTATTAGTCGATATCAATATTATCAAACTGGAATCGATCATCGACTTGATAGCAATATCAGGTCAATACATCATTAGTTGAACCATTTAAATTAAATTTATCCAAAATATATAAAAAAAAGTAACATGATAATCAAAATAATCAGCCTTAATGATTTAACGTTTTACTTAACCAAAAATTTAATACTTAATTAGTATCGGTTGAACCCGGATTATGATTGATTTACCAGTTTTTTATTGAGTTACATGTTTGATTGGTTAATTGACTAAAATGAACCGGTTAATGATTTGATTTTCAGTTCAATCGATCCGACTGACCAAGTTGGTTTGGTTTTTAATAACAGTGGTATTATATTCACAAATTGAGATTTGACAATGGGTTACTGAAGTAAGGAGTAACTGTGGACATAACCGACAATTTGACAAACATGTTATCTGCACAGAGACTTCCTCAAGGTTCCACACGGGGAGAATTTTCTTTTTCCCTGAAATCTAGTTGTAAGACTCGAAGTATATTGTTTTATCTGTCTAGAAATAGGGGGCGTTTGGTACGAGATAAATTTTCTTTTATCCGAAAATTACGATTTCCAAGAATATGATGGAAATATGAGTTTTCTGAAAATGTTATCAAAAAAGTGTTTGGTAGACTAAAATATTACCGAGAATATTAAGTTAATTTTCTTAATGCTATGTTTAGTTGTATTAAATTTTCAATTGTCATATAAATCTTAGAATACCACTCCTTGGATGGTATTTTTTAATGGTATTTTCAAAAAAAATTACACACAAAATAAAATTTTGGAAAAATCATATTCTCGAAAAAATTTAAAAAAACTTGTACCAAAAATAGGTTAATATGATTACCACTCTCAGTTTCTCGATAATTCTAAAAAATGCCTCCTACCAAACGGCCCCTTATATAATAACGCTTTGTGTTTGATTTTTTTATTATTATTTTTGAAAGAATTTTAAAGCCTTAATTCTAGATCTGCATGAACAAAATTGTCCCCGCTTGATTTATTAAAAAAAAAAGTATTTACATAATAAAAATGTGATTAAAAGATGATAAATTTTAAAATAAAAACAACTCATTGTAATCATAACAAATTTCAAAATAGGCTATATACCAATAATTAGTGCAAGCCCAAATCTCGGGATGTGTCCCTAAATCCTAATTAGGCCACGTGAAGCTTTTTGTTGTAGAGTAAATATTCTTGGTCCTCGGTAAATTTCACGATATTCGCTTTAGTCCCTAGCAAATAAAAAGGTCTACCGTGGTCCTTAAGAAGTTTAAAATGGACTCATTTTAGTCCTTTTAAGGGATTAATATAGATTTTTTTTAAATTTATGAGGGATCAAGATTTTAACTAAATGAGTCCATTTTAAATTTCTTAGGGACCACGATAGACCTTTTTATTTGCTAAGGACTAAAGTGTGCATCGTGAAATTTGCTGATGACCAAAAAAGAAATTTACTCTTTGTTTTATCTTCCCCATGAAATTTCGCCACAATTTGCCAATAGCAAATGAGGACCGGTTTTATATTTCTTAATTGAGTTTTATTTTTCTTATGTTGCATGAGACAAGTTGTCTCATGCAACACACAAAAAGTGAATGAGATCCACTAAAAAAGAAGAGAGAGA